AAAAGAATCGTTAGCCAACTATGGTCGTAAGTTACGTCGTTATCAGCAGTTTAACGAGTCGATGTTTCCCCGAAACCGTCGTTCCAAACAGCATCGCAGAGTTGTGTGTGTGAGCGACAGATCTCGACCTGTGGTGTCAATAAATCCTCAATAAATCCTGATCTTGAGCAAAAAGTAGCAAGCTGACATTCAGCGCAACCTGTGTGTTTTATTTAGAATACATACGAATGTCATTTACGTCTTTGAGTTTGTCAAGAGATTTAAAGCGTTGGTTTTTGAAGAGTGCGGGTGTGCGAACGAGCTCTAGTGCGCAAGAACGAGTCAATGATTGAATCTGGAAATAAAGCAAAATATTGTAGAAAAATGAGAAATAGTCGTCAGATGCATGGCTGTAATTTATAGCAAAACATCTAGCGTTAATTCGATCTCAAACAGATTCATTAAAAGTAGTTATTATTGTGCATCACCTTGGTCGCAGTTCCATTATAATTCCACTGGAGGTGATCACGGGCGAGAGCAGAATGAATGGGAGTCTATGGGGCTAAACGGCTAAATGTGTCTCTTTCGCCTGCTTGTCGTTAAATTAACATAGATTTTATTGCTGATTCCGCAAGTTCAATATAGATTATAGGTCAAAAGTCGAATGAACGAGTATTTATGTCCTTTTGATTTCTTACAGGTTAGGCCGTTGTTGTCCGGAACGCGCTAGCATTCTGCTATTGTGTGACGTCATCACATTTTTAACGGATTTTTAGAACAGATAAGTGAACTTAAAAATGCAAGTGTATTTTATTTTGAATGCAACTTTCAAATTACTTGACAAAAAATTACATCCTGAGAAAAGTGGATTTCCAATTGACTCCCATTCATTCTGCACTCGACCGCGAGCGCCCCCGCATGGACAGAGACGCGTTACTGCAGCCAGTCCAGAACCCGGAAGTAACCAGCCAATGCCAATTCTCTTCAATTAGACATTCTCTGTTATCACTCCAAAACCTGTGACGTGGGTTGAACGACCAATTTGCGATATTACGGTTTCGGGCAACAGTCGTGACTAGCTAGTCGATTTCTTCAACGATGCATCGTACTATGAGAGTAATCTTGGGAAACACACTCCTTAGTAGGATTCTGGTGTGGGCGCTAACAAAGATGCTAAAAGCACTAGCGTCAATCGCTAGAGCGCCTCTTGTGGCGAATTTATACGTGTGATTTATACGCACAACTCTTACTGGCCTACATTACTCTACTACCATAACAGGAATATCTCATATCTGTAGGACAATGACAGCAGGAGGTGCTGTTTTATCACCGGGGGAGAAACTCACTCGGATGACTTTGACACACACACACACACGAGCAGGTGACTTTGGTGTTGAAATAGCTCCAGATCATCTGGCAGCGATTCTGCAGCGGTTTGACATTGCTGGCGGTGTCCGAGTCCGAGCCAGACTGTCTTTCCTGGGGCGAGTGTTTCCTCCGGTGAATCGAGCCGCCGCTCTAAACGCTTTACTGCGGGCGCTTTTGGGATGCAGCTTTCCTCTGTTGTGGGTATTTGGTTTCAGTTGAGAAAAAGTGTCCAATTAGGGAAGCCACAGTATCGATCTGCAAAACGAGTCAATTTCAAACACACACACAGAGAGAGAGAGAGAGAGAGAGAGAGAGGGAGAGAGAGAGTTTAAAATAGCAAGTCAGTGTTGAGTTTGTCTTTATCCACATATTTACTGCTCAAGACAAAACACATACTGAAGAAAAGCCATTGTGCCTTCTGGACAAGACACTATGATTTTAAGATGTGTACCATGGTAATAGCGTTTATTTTTGGCGTTTACCATGTTATATATATAAAGGCAACTTACAGTACTTGTTTGTAAGGGTATCCACGTATGTATTTCTCAGTATTAGCTAGTTTGTTCAGTTAGCGCTCATGTAGAGTTTCAGCACAAGAAGCGAGGAAACATTACACAGGGTTTCCTTTGAAACCGGCTGTGCGCTGATAAATACTTGTTGCCGTAGTTTCAATGAAAGTTTGCTGAGAAAGTCTTTCAAGACCCCCTTTGAAGCGCTTTCTATTTGTGTGAAATGATCCGCGTCTCACGCTGAGAATGAAATTAAACTGGAAAAAACATAATCACCAAGTCACTGTCTTTCATAATCACAATGTGGTACAAAAAGCAAAAAACACAAACTAACTCAAGGCTAAAATGTTAGGGAAGGAACACACTAGCCGTTTTAGCTAGCCACCATTATTGATAACTCGTCTGCTAGTCACTGTAACCGTCTTCAAATTTCAATGCTAATTGCAATTAGCCATAAATTATACTTGTTTTGTCAGAACAATTTAGTCCCTATTTACACGAGAACGCTCGCACGTGAAAACGTACAAATATTTTATCGGATGTGCCTTTCGTTTACACGGCGACGGCGTTTTTGAGGCTTAAAAACGCAAAAAAGTGAAACCACCCTCCAGTGTGGAAATCTTAAAAACGCTCCACCGCCGCGTTCCCGTGTAAACGGTAAAAACGCAAAAGTCTGCTTGATAGTGAAGGTTGTACGCAGGCGCGTGGACTTGGTGTTGTTGTAGTATGCACTCCTAGCCGCCTGAAGTGCACACTACATTGAATTTCACACACTTTTGCGTCACCATTTGCACGCGGATTTCCCACACAAAACGCTCGTCTAAACGCAGAATAAAAACTGATGACGCAACGCCACTTTTGCGTTTTCTCTTCAGAATTGTTTCCGTGTAAACAAGCTCCCACCGCGACACGCAGATGAACATTAGCATGAAATGCTAACTAGACTGGGAAGGTGGTTTCCCAGTCTAGTTAGCATTTCATGCTAATGTTCATCGGCGTGTCGCGGTGGGAGCTTGTTTGCTAACCCACTGTCCTTGTGAATGAAAATTCTCAAGCAAGAATATCATTCATTTGTTTTTAGCCACCAACGAGCCTTAATCAGGAGAACAGTACGTTATCCGCCATGTGTAGCGGAAAACATCTCAGTTTTAGCTTATCGCACTTCCTAAACAAAAACAACCATGGCGTATCTTTAGAATACCTATAATCACATTACACACATGATGATTATGAACTAGTGTTATCAGTAAATGACGTCTGAGCTGCAGCAGAGTGATAGTCATGCTAAAGTAATCAGTGATGCTAGCGTGTAGTCATGTTAGCGTAGTGCAAAAGAATCAGACCTGTTTCCAGGAAACACAAACCTCATGGTTTTTTATTCAGGAGCTGTGCTTTTGAATAAATGTTGTGTATTATGATGGGATTAGCAATGATGTTGACCCATGTGGTTTCAATCCACAGACAGGAAGTTAGCAGCGCTAGCGAGGAAACCGAAGCGGTTCTATGAGTCTCAAAGCTGTGATTTTGGATTTTGGATATTAATACACTTAAGGATGCATTTTCAGCAATTATGTGTTTCACAAAGTTATATCAAAGTTTTATTTTTGTGTAATTAGCATTGCTTGCTTAGATTAGCATCGCTAGTGCTCAGATTAGCATCGCTAGTGCTCATACTCAAGGTTAAGAGTTTGTGGATGATAAAAAAGGCAAGTAATCCATTCACAACCATCTTTTACATAGAAACATGCAAAAAAAAATCTGAGCACATTAGCATAGCTATGCAATAGCAATCATTCCGAATTACCTAGCAATTGGCGGCTTTCCAGCTAACAGAACTAATGTTATCCGAACTTTTAGCTAAAGTTGTGACAAGGTTCTCTCAGAGTTATGAACAAACATTATGTCCAGTAACATTAATAAAACATGATCTGGTCTTTAGTAATGTTTTCAAAAAAATTAGCGCAAAAACGTTTTTATACATCGTTCATGGAATGTTTCTATCAGAAACGTGTAGATGTAACTATGTTTAAATGTTACAACAAGTTTCAGAATGTTTAAGAACATTCAAAAGTAATATTCCCATAACATCTAAAGAATGATCAAATGTTTCCTTAACGTTCACATAACTAAGAAAAATGTTAAAAAAAGATTTGTTTAAAACTGACGCGACCAATGTTTACACTTTCATGTCAAGATGATAGGCTAATGGATAATGTTAGCCCATAGCTAATTAGCCAAGTAGTCATTATTTTAAGAAATCCAATCAAAATCCAAATTAAGTCAACATTTCATTTCTAATTAACAATCTGTTGCGTTACAGAAGTGACTTAAGTTGTGAATGTCGCTCCTTGTAGACTGTTTTGACCTCATTAGCATGTAGCATCCGTTTTTGATTTTTAGCGCAGGTTAATCTTGGCTAGCAGCTTGTGTTTTCCATACTAGCTAATTGATGTGTTAGTTCAGCCCCCTTCCTTGCTCTCCGTCATAATGATTATATTTAGCATTAGCATGCAAAAAAAAAATCCCATTTCCAAGTGCCAACATTTTGAGTTTCGTGTTTAGCTGCTCTTTATGTGTGCGCTAAATAGCCTCCGCGATGTCTGTTTATGTTGTACTTGGGGTTTGTGTGTGGGGTTAGCACTAATAAAATCCAAACGCTTGTAATCCAGCTAGTCCTAAGACTTTTAAACCCAACAGATGGATGACACAATGACTTGCGGCTAGCTACTTGCTATCATGCTAATCTCACAATATCACAAGGTATTTTCTCATTAAAGTCATGATGTAGCCTAGTGATCAAAACCCATTTTACTTTTGAAATGTGATTGTATTTCAGGAGGTATACTGAAAAAAGTGTGTATGACTTGATCAAACTTGATATCATGTTTACATTTCGTCCCCAAACCGTTAGCGTATGTTGTAAGTTAGCAGATGTACGTTGACTGACAACCAGAGGACGCTGCTGTGTAGCTTAACCGCGATGCCCTGACTTTTTGTTATTGAGTTATAATGAGTTCCTTAACTGTTTATCTGCTAATTTATTTATGATGAAGTTGTAGCGGCGTGTATGCCAAGACTGGAAGTCATTAAGGGACTAATTAGTGGAGTTTTGGTGGCAGTCATGTTTGGTGGCGGAGAGAGTTCATGGCTTTTGCATCGCAGGCGAAGACACACTCTCGCTCTCCTTCCCCCGGTGCCGGTTGTAACAGCGACGCTCTGGCGTTTTTCCAGGCCACCTGGCGTGAGGCAGAGATAGCGTCTCGAGGGCAGGTTAAAACCTGGCGCTCGCTAGCAGGAGCTCGAGGGGACTTGGATATGTAGAGGCCAGCAAACGGCGATGCTCTTTCACAGATACGCGACCGAATTCGGATCACAGCTGCCGGGTCATCACCGTTACTGGCGGCTGTCGTTAGATTATATATTCAGAGACGTGAAGCCGTTAGCATTGCTAGCTTTACTGTTCTTACTGACAAAAAATAATGTTTCCTGTCCCTTTTCTGGTTTTGGGAAGTTTTAAAGAGGACGCGTTACATTTTTTTTGTGTTAAAATAGTCAAGTGACCTTTATTTATAACAATACAGATTAACAAAGCATCTTTAAAATTACTTACAAACTACTTACAAACTAGACGTAAGCCAATTCTAATTTGAAGAATATACAACATGGATTCAAAATAACTTAAATTTGTTATATTTTAAGTGTATATTGAGGTTATAAATAATTGTAATGTTAATATTTGAATATTAAAATATTAACATATTTTAAATTGAATTTATAACATTTGGGTTATAAATAATTGTTTATTTAAAAATAGATGTATTTATATTTATAGTTTTAATATTTTAAGGGTAAGAACATGCATTGATGTTATAACCGATTATATGAAAATCAATTCTATTGAAAATGTATTTTATATTTCTAATTTTAATATTTTAAGTGTAAGAACATATATTGAGGTTATTAATAATTGTAATGTTAATATTTTAATATTAAAATATTTAAATAAAATATTAACATATATTAAATTGAATTTATAACATTGAGGTTATAAATAATTGTTTATTTAAAAAAAGATGTATTTATTTTTATATTTTTAAAGAACATACATTGACGTTATAACTGATTATATAAAAATCAATATGTATTTTATATTTCTAATTTTAATATTTTAAGTGTAAGAACATGCGTTTGATGTTAAATAATTTTAACAGTCATGTATTATTAATATTTTAATATTTATACTATTTTTTTATATATTTCTAATTTATTATATTAACTGTAAGAATATATTAAGAAAATATTTAATTACATATCCAATTAAAGTTACGAACCTGCTTGAGGTAATAAACATTTTTATTAATAATTTTTTAATATTTAAAATATCGATGTATATCCCTAATTTCAATATTTTAAGTGTTACTTGCAGACATTCATAAACTATAATCTATTTTTTCTTTATTCTGGAGTGTTTGGGAAATATAGCACATTATTTAATTTTCGGTTCATATTTCATCTCCGTATTTGTGCTGTAAGTCCTGAAGTGCAGGATTTGTGTGAATCGTGTTTACAGTACCTGTGTGACGCGATTGAAACGCCGGTCACGCGCACAAACACACATTTATGCGGCTCCAGGGTTCAGGCTTTAAAGCCAGACTTTCACTAAGTACTTTATCCTTTATGTTCAGATTTCTGCCACCATCTTAGTTCTTACAAACAGTCAGCATAATAATCTCTCCTCCGAAACAAACCAAACAAGAGCTGGATCTTCCCAGAGGACGTCACATGACCTCGTTAGCCGAGCTAAATTGGTCTAAGTATTAAAGGCTTGTTGGATGTCGGCTCCATTAGTGAGTATCGGTGCAAAAACAAGAGTGCAGTGGAAATCACACTGTTTTTAAAGCCAGTGTTTGCGTCATTTACCTCGTCTCGAGATTAAAAGCATAATCAGTTTGATGCTGTCTGAGTCCAGGAAAGACTCTTGTGAAATTAAATTAAATCAAAATGTCTATTAAAATCCCCCAAAAGTATTATTTTTGATGAAAGTGTGGATAAGTGAGTCAGAAAGGCAGCAAAGTCAATAATAAACTCCTTGTTAGGCTTTGGTGAGCGGGACAAAGTGGCAACAATGGTGAGTAGCCTCAAATGAGGGATTTTGTATCATTTTATAACTAAACACCATTATTTTATAAATATTTTAATTACATATAGATCTTTAAAATATGTATGTAAAATTAGAATAAAATAATAGATATTCAATTTTGAATATACTTTAAATAAATATTGGTTGTATTTTTTTATGTAATTTTATTTTTTAATATAATTAAATCTACTTTAGATGGGCAGCTGCAGTCATGTGTGTGTTATTGCTGGGATGGAGTGAGTCCTGTAGACTGGTTTTTATCAGTATTTGGGTGACGATGACACACACACACACACACACACACACACACACATATGAGTGATGATGATGAAGGATGCTGTTATTGCTCTGCAGATGTTATCGCTCAGGATCTTGACCTGTACTCTGCACTTATTGCCTCCTATATTTAAAAGCACACACATGGCAAACTCATCTACTGATGCCTCATCATTATATTACATATTAAAAAATACTTTTCAGTCAATTTAATATTAGTATTAGAACCTCAATCCTACATGTTCTGGAAGTGAAGTATTTATTTCTGCAGAACTGAAAAAAACGAATTACTGATCAATATATGCTTTATTTATTTTTTTATTTTTTACAAATATTTATTTTATTTTATTTTTTATATCTTATGATTATTATCTAAAAATTGAAATTACTTTCTTTTTTCAACATTTTATTCTGTCTTATTTGTGTATTTTAATTATATATATATATATATATATATATATATATATATATATATATATATATATATATATATGAAGAGTTCAGATGCAAAAGCCTGTGCAAGTGCCATTTGAAATTTTCTTCTAAAATGATCATTTTTATCAAGCTTGTATATTTAAGTTCAGTAATTTCACTTGAAATTTAAGTGAAATTACTGAACTTAAATATACAAGCTTGATAAAAATGATCATTTTAGAAGAAAATTTCAAATAAGCTTGATTTTTACTGAGTTTTTTTATTTAATAATTTTTTTTATTTAATACATTTTATTATTTAAATAAATATGTATTTACTTTTTATATTATTTAATTTATCATGTTTATTTTTATATTTTATTTTATTATATATTTTTTATTTTATTTTCTGTATTTTTGTTTTATTTTACTTCTATCTAATATTTTTATTGTATTTTTATTTTATTTTTAGTACTTCTACTTTTGTTTTAATATTTTTATTTCATTATTTCTGAAGCTTTAATTTTTATCTTATTTCTTATATTTTATTGTTTATTTATACTGTTTATTTTTATTATCTGTATTACTTTTCTTTAACTGCTTTCACTTTATTCTCTTAGTTGTATTTCATTTTTATATGTTTTTTTTTGTCATTTTATTTTTTATATTTGATTTTATTCTGTTTTTTTTATTATATTATTGTATTTTTATTTATTTATTTTCACTTGACTTATTTTAGCATTTGTATATTTTTATTTTTTTAGAAGACTATCTTCTGCAAGAAGGCTTATAAGCGCACTGATAACTAGTAAACATATCAGTCAAAAAGAAATGGTTATAGAATGTGCATTTGTTTTCTTTCAGAAGTAAATGCGCATCCCATCCAATAAACATATTTATTTTCTCATATTTACAGACACATCCGTTTCCAAAAGCCTGACCCCCCACTGCTACTTTCTTGGACTGCAAACACACTCAGTTCTCCTGTGGCGATCGTCCCACATCCATGCTCAAATCCGTCCCATTAAACACTAATGACCCCACATTATCGGTGTGTGTGTGTGTGTGTGTTGTCTATCTAGGGATGAATATTAATAGTTTCATCCAGACAATCGCCGCGAGGAGAAGATGACCTCCAGAGACTCGAACACAGATCACCTGTAACATGCTGTTAGTTAAACATGTAGACACACTGTTTTTGGCCAAACTGTGGTGTGTGAGTCTCGCTGTAGTATAATCTCACTGTTATACACCCTGGCGGATGATTACAGAGATCATTACAGCAGATTAAGTGTTTCCTCCACCATGTGTCTGTGAGAATACAAACGCTCTGCACAATAGAGGAAGACGTGTGTGTGCAAGTCCTTCTTCAACATCTGACATCCCGCTCTCTCCGATCTCAGGTCTTTCCGTGTACATTTACACAGACTCTTTCGGCAAATAACACGTTTGTGCTGGATGAAATTGGCTGTATTTTTACAGGACCCCCCTTTTTTTACAGCAAAATGTTTTACGACATTTTTATGGTAATTTGTTTCTAAATATTCTTGCTTTTATTGTGCATGATTTTAAATATCTAGTTTCTTTATTATATTTATTTATATATTTTATTTAATTACTTGTTTAAATTTATATTAATTTTTATATTATTTTAATAGTATTTAATATTTTATTTAAAAATCAATTTTTTCGCAGTAAATATATATATTTTTTCACTAGGAAATGTCAATATGTCGTTGCTAAGGTTGCTAATTCATACTGCGGTAGTAGCGCTAGTTGCGTTAAATTGGCGTATTAGCGTATTTTAATCCAATCTAGTCCGACCCTATTTTATTTCTTGGTTAATATTTCTTACTAGGAAAATTTTTATATGCTGTTGCTAATATTGCTAATTCATGCTACAGTAGCAAGCGCTAATTGCGTTAAAACATTAACGCAATGGGACCCATTCTACGCCATTTCGCTCTAAATATCCTTTTCACAAGGAAAGTATGTTATGTTGTTAATTCATGCTATTGTAGCAGCGCTAGTTGCATTAAATCTGCGTGCTTGTGTATTGCAATGCAATTGAGTCCCACCCTACGTTATTTTGCCATAAATATTATTTTTACCGAGTAATTCTTTGTCAATATGTTGTTGCTAATACTGCGGTAATTGCGTTAGTTGCGTGTATTTCAATCCAGTTGAATCCCAGACTACGTTACTTCGTAAGTAAATATACTTTTTTAACAAGGAAAATGTAAATATTTAATTTGCAATAAATATAATTTTTTACTGTAATTATTTTTATGTTAATATGTTGATGTTAATTCATACTGCGCTAGCAGCGCTATTTTCATATCTCAATCCAGTCAATCCCACCCTGCGTTACTTTAATATCTGTATCATTGTTAGATATTAAATTAGCATATTAAAGTCTGCTAGGAAATTATCAGTAATCTACACTATTTAAACGTTAGCTCCTTGCCCTAAATCGGCTGCAACATCTTTACGAGTCTTTCAGTTTCAGGACTATTTTCGAGTAGTTAGCTAGCTGGCTATTTCCGTAGTTAGCTAGCTGGCTAATTCCGTACTATTTTCTAGTAGTTAGCTAGCTGGCTATTTCCGTAGTTAGCTAGCTGGCTAATTCCGTACTATTTTCGAGTAGTTAGTTGGCTGGCTAATTATATACTATTTTCTAGTAGTTTGCTACCTGGTTATTTCCGTAGTTAGCTAGCTGGCTAATTCCGTACTATTTTCAAGTAGTTAGCTATACTATTTTCTAGTAGTTAGCTAGCTGGCTATATCCGTACTATTTTCAAATAGTTAGCTATCCTATTTTCTAGTAGTTAGCTAGCTGACTATTTCTGTAGTTAGCTAGCTGGCTAATTCCATACTATTTTCGAGTAGTTAGCTGGCTGGCTAATTCCATACTATTTTCTAGTAGTTTGCTACCTGGTTATTTCCGTAGTTAGCTAGCTGGCTAATTCCGTACTATTTTCAAGTAGTTAGCTATACTATTTTCTAGTAGTTAGCTAGCTGGCTATTTCCTTAGTTAGCTAGCTAGCTAGCTGGCTATTTCCATACTATTTTCAAGTAGCTAGCTATACTATTTTCTAGTAGTTAGCTAGCTGACTATTTCCGTAGTTAGCTAGCTGGCTAATTCCGTACTATTTTCGAGTAGTTAGCTGGCTGGCTAATTCCATACTATTTTCTAGTAGTTTGCTAGCTGGTTATTTCCGTAGTTAGCTTGCTGGTTAATTCTGTACTATTTTCAAGTAGTTAGCTATACTATTTTCTAGAAGTTAGCTAGCTGGCTATTTCCTTAGTTAGCTAGCTAGCTAGCGGGCTATTTCCATACTATTTTCAAGTAGCTAGCTATACTATTTTCTAGTAGTTAGCTAGCTGACTATTGCCGTAGTTAGCTAGCTGGCTAATTCCATACTATTTTCGAGTAGTTAGCTGGCTGGCTAATTCCATACTATTTTCTAGTAGTTTGCTAGCTGGTTATTTCCGTAGTTAGCTAGCTGGCTAATTCCGTACTATTTTCAAGTAGTTAGCTATACTATTTTCTAGAAGTTAGCTAGCTGGCTATTTCCTTAGTTAGCTAGTTAGCTAGCTGGCTATTTCCATACTATTTTCAAGTAGCTAGCTATACTATTTTCTAGTAGTTAGCTAGCTGACTATTTCCGTAGTTAGCTAGCTGGCTAATTCCGTACTATTTTCAAGTAGTTAACTGGCTGGCTAATTCCATACTATTTTCTAGTAGTTAGCTAGCTGGCTAATTCCGTACTATTTTCAAGTTAGCTATACAATTTTCTAGTAGTTAGCTAGCTGGCTATTTCCTTAGTCGGTTAGCTAGCTAGCTGGCTAATTCCGTACTATTTTCAAGTACTGTAGTTTGTTATACTATTTTTTAGTAGTTAGCTAGCTGGCTAATTCCGTACTATTTTCTAGTAGTTAGCTAGCTGGCTAATTCTGTACTAATTTCTAGTAGTTTGTTAGCTGGCTAATTCCCCACCCAGCGTAAGTAATCAAACGCTAACTTGCGTTTAGCTTCCTGTGGCGGAAGACAAGCACAGCAACAGTTTGGTACTGTACACAGCGATCAGCTGCAACAGGACGCCGTCTGAACTAAGGCTACATGGCAGTTAGCCTGTAAATACACCATGACTAATGTGCACGTAATGGAAAGCAAATCTGTTGTTGCGCGAGATTATCCCACAACCTGGGTTCAGCGGGACGCCAGGCCAACCTCACACTGAGAGGAGAATATCTGTGACCAATCCACAGAGTATCTGTGACTTCTTGTCTTTAGCCCCAATTACGAGCGTTTGCCAGACATTTTCAATATTCATTTCCCACTCGTTGCGCGGCGGGTGCAGTCGTTCCTCTGGAGAGCGAAACAGGAGGCGAGACGCAGATGGTGCCATCTTATCTGCTCTCGCTACACAAACACCATCTTGAGAAACATCCACTTTATTTCTCCTTCCTTTCTGTCGGCGGTTCAAGATGAAGACGCGCCGTATATCTGTGTTTTTGATTTGCACTCGTTTGTAATCCTTCACGTCTTTCTTTTTGTCTTTGTGGTAGGAATTTGTAATTTGATTGAATATTCTCCAGACTACTGCTAAAATATTTGGTGATTTGTAGTCCATTTAACATTTTGAGGTAATCTTGTAAAATCTCAGTGAATCTTCTCTTCTCATTTGCAGTGTGTTCTCCCACTTGAATCCCTCATTGGGATTTCCCAGAGTGCAAATAGAGATCCGCTGTGTGATGAATGGAGTCGTCTGGATAATGGACCCAGGTGTCTTGACAACTCTCATTGTCCTGTTCGGAGGAAAGAGAAGGTTTCAGTTACGCACAACATGACTTTGTTTTTGTCAACTAAAGCCGCAACAATAGAGCTGACATGAATAGCTTTTACTTAAACTGACTTTCATTACGACTACTACTGTTTATTCGCCGCCTACCTGACAATTAAAGAACAAAAAGAGACGTTCAGCTCCTGAACAATATCGTATAAGCTCAAAACCTGCTAGTGAATTTAAACAAAGCTTATTCTTTCCAAGTGCCATTTTTTGTTGGGTTCCTCAAGGTTCTTCAGATCAGAATTTGGGTTTATGGGTTCTCAAAGCTACAATGTGTAACTCTTTTAGTTTATTCTTAGCTAAAAACACGTAGTTCTTTCAAAAATATGCGCTCATTAAAGTATATTTAGTAATAAAGTGTATAATATGCCATTGAAAATTCATACGGGTCGGTCGCCATGTTGCCCCTCCATCTTGAAAGTACGTTAGCCAAAGAGGGACATACCCGTTAATTCAAGCTTCGCCTTTCGCATTTGCGTTTGAGTTAAAAAATCATGGACGAGTTCGAACTGGAAGCCATGTTAATCTTGGACCACATTGGCCACCGTAGGAGTTAAAAACGAAATCGGAATTGAGAGGAACAGAAACTAATATTCACTGGATGGTCATATACTTTTTCACCACTAGATGGGGATAAAAATCACACAGTGTAGCTTTAAAGCAGCAGAACATTAAAAAAAGCTCTTTTTGGGACTTGGACGTACAGTATTTTGGCCACCAGAGGTCGCCATTAATATGACGCAAAGCATTATGGATGTTGTCGTCAAGCTGACGGATCTTTTACGGATGAGTGAATACAGTGATGTTTTTATCATGACTGTGGTGAAGCAGGCCGCGATTGCTAATGAGAGGCGTATACCAACGCCACGCGCAACATCCCGCGGAAATCAAAACATTTAATTCTACACGCACTACACGCAAGTGCTGGATTAATACTCACAGGTCAGTTTATTAGACGAATCAAACTTGAGGTAGTTGGGTCAATGTTTGACGGACCTGCTCGCATAGTAACGGTTGCTATGATGTGTGATTGGACAATGGCCGTTTTGGGGGAGGGGCCAGCGAAATTTTAGTTATGCACATTCCTTCTGCTGAAAATCTTCTGTATTTCTTCCAGAAGAAAGAATGGTTTTGAAAGGACATGATGACGGCACGTAAAGTGTCTTTTCAGACTAACGATGTTGGCTGAACGCTTTGTTCTTCGTGTAAAGCTCCATCGGGAGATCCACGGAAAGACGATTTTCTCCATCCTGGAAGACGGAGGGTTAAGTGTTGGTGCGTGGTTTCACACTGGTGGGCGTGGAGCTGCTGCCAGCATCCCTACATCCATCTGTGCTGGCGGTACAGCGCCGACAGCTCTCCAAACACACGTCGTGCTCGACTCTCCCTGCAGACGTGGCCAGAGAAGACTCACCCGGCCTCCTCGCAAACTCTCGCATGCATTCATTAGAGGTTCCTTCGCTGGAGATCGGCACGTCCTGCTGGAAGGCCTCTTAAAGTAACTTTATTTATTGCATTTTTACTTTTAAAGTTGCTTCCTGAAACTTTATCTTGTGCAACAGGAAAATGTCACTCACTATAGAAGAAATGTTATCATAGAAACATTGGATTTTGAGGCGGATATGCACCGTAATCAGTCAAAATGACATTTGCAACCCTATAACTTTTAAAATACTTTTATAACTTTAAAACTTAAAATAAATTTTTTCACGTGAAATTTGATATTCGGGAACTGAATTATTCTTGCGATGGCCGACTAGTCAATTTTTAGCCACAGAGCACCGTGTTTTTTTTTTTTTGTGAACAGAAATTTCAAAAAGTCATGGGATTCAAATTTCAAATTCAAATTTTTTTTGTTTGTATTAAAAGTTTTTTTTTTCCTCAATAAATTTTTTATTATTATTATTTTCACGAAACATTGCAAACTTTTTTCTTTTGAATATACTGAAAAAATGTATTTAAAAAAGACAAATAAGTACATGTAAATCCACATATTTGTGCATAAATATAAAATGTTTAAAATATACAAATAATTAATTAAGTACATAAATAAAAGTTCAAAAAGTAACGCATACAATAAACAAACTTAATCGTGCATTTTACAACCATTTAATTGTGTTTTATATCGTAACAATTTATTTTATTTATATATTTGTGCACAAATATGTGGATAAATATATTAATTTATCGGCATATTTATTTGTCTTTTTTATTATTATATATACATTTTTTGTTTTCGTTTTTTGTCCTCCGTACACTGCTAAATCGTTCGCATTAAGTCCAGGAATGGGTCCGTTTGGATTTCCCGCTTAATTGCGATACAATCTGGAGCTAAACTCGCGGGATTAAAAACCTTTGTGTTTTTCTCTCACCCTGACATGATAACAAACCATAAACAAGTCACGCACCATTGCAGGAATCTTTTAGGGCCGTCCATAAAAATGCTAATTACGGAGTCCCAGAATGCCATGCGTCGGTGCATCAATAAATCTGTCTGTTTTTGGGGTCTCCGTCCAGATGGGGTCAGATTTACGAGCATGTCATCAGTCCTCCACAGTGTTTTAGCAGTCGTGGCACAAATTCGCAAAATCAATCGTCCTGTCAGGATGCACCGTTCGTTGTTTTCGAAATCCGTAACTGTGAGTTTTGACCCTCCTAGAGTGTCGTTTTATCATAATTCTCCTCTGGGTTTTATGTAACTAAGCAAGTTTGTAAATGATAGTTGTAATGTGCTTGTGTCAAGCAGCAGCTTTTTTATGGGCCGTTGAGACTGTTGCCTTGTTTTATGGCGGGTTTGATGATGGATGGAGAAGTGAAGAGCAAATCTCGCTGATCGTTTATGTTTCGCCACCTCAGCTTTCAATGCATTAGTGCATATGCATGTCTTTCAGTATAATGAGGGCTCTCCATGACATTGGGAATGGGTCGGTCTGGAAATAGTATTTTTACATCATAACTTGTGGTGTACCCCAAGGCTCAATATTGGGTCCGCTATTATTTGACGTATACATGCTTCCTTTAGCTATTTCCTTAGATACATTTTTGGCAATTTTATAAGAAGCTACTAGAGGTACAGAAATGAATTGAATTTCATTATTATAAAAATATTTTACCTCAATAAGTCGTAATCAATTCAAGACGCCAAATTACGCTAGTATGATTTTACAGCATGTTTTGTAAATTGACTGATGATGGATGCATCATCAATTTGATGATCCTCGGCTTTCATTGCATTAGTGCAAATGCATATATTTTAGTATATGACGGATCTCCTGCCATGGCTAACAGTATACGCGAACCTGCGGCCAATTCTCTAAAGACGAGTAAACAAAATCTTTACTGTAAGTCAAATCTCAATTATACAACTATTAATGTATGCTCAACAGCTCCAGTCACCAATCACTTTCATTGGATGAACCTTGTGCTAAACGTCTCATTTTGAGTCATTTGGGTTTGGAATGATATGAAAACCTTCATTTTGGGGTGTGTTTTTCCTGTTTTAGGTTCGCTTATCATGTCCGTGAGAGTTTAGCTCAGGCTATATTCCACCAAAAGTGGTGCATTCTCAGTCAACACAATCTAAATCTAAATGCTCCAAGTGTTTTCCATTAAACTGGTCTTTAGCAAACAACTCTGTGGCTATTATCATTATCGTGAGTGATGCCGGCCGGTGAATGCGGACCGATGTCCTCATTAGAGCAGGTATTTCTGGATGTTCGGCCCTGCTGAGAGACACTGAGCTCAGGAACATTCAGCTCCACGGGACACACTAATAACATCCAGCAGGAGGGGCTTTAATGGAAACCAGAGCCGTCTCTCCTGTCCAACTGGAGACGGGAAGTTGAAGGAAGAGAGAAAAAGTCACTTTGTGTCTTTTGGCCAAATTTGTGTAGAATTCAATTCTAATAATAATTCTAAATAAATGATACCTCATTTTAATAATTATTATGAAATCAGAATAATACATGTATAATATAAAACTAATTATGAAAATTAGACTTAAAAATTTTCGAAAATGATTTAAATTAGATTAAAAAAAACTTTAAAATAGATTTTTAAATTTTATTTAATTTAAAAAAAAATTATTAAAATTTTTCTAATTTAAAAAAATAATTAAATTAGATTTAAATGATAATGATAGTAAGTAAAGTTTATATAGCACCTCTAACAGACAAGGAAGGGTCACAAAGTGCTTTACAATGTACAAAAAATACAAATAAAATAATAATAATACATATAAAATATAACAAAACAGCTGCACAAATACCATTGAAATGTAATAAACGCCAAACCATATTGTTAATTAAAAGCTTATCCAAAAATGTATAGCAATAGTGATTTAGCACTGTCGTGTTTTTATTTATTTTTTTCTTCTAAATCGTACATTTTGTGAAATCCTGACGCAGGTGGAAAAGGTGGGCTTTTGTTGGCAGGTCTGGGGTCTGTTCTGAATATGTTAGTGTGCTGATGTAAGACGTCTGTTTGAAACCTGGGGCCTTTTATCCATTATCAGGAACAGACGCTCGGGCCGGTCACAGTTCATCCCTCCTCATTAAGGCGTCTGATTTATTCCAGGGCTGAAACTGAAAATTCTCTCTATATGTCTCATCATGCCCAGCATAAAAAAAAATATATTGAGTATGTATGTATGTATATATATATTACACTCGGTACCAACGACCTTACGTCATAACTTGTGGTGTTCCTCAAGGCTCAGTTTTGGGTCCTCTGTTGTTTTACCTATGCTTCCTTTTGCTGATGCAATTCATCAGTACAATATTCCCTAAGAACAATTCTTGGCAGTTTTGTTAGAGGCCACTAGAGGAACATTATAACACCCAAATTGTCATAATCAAGGCGCCAAATTTAGAGACACTTTAGAACGTTTTCCCACTGTTTAAACAACCTTTACAAACATTTTTATAATGTTGTGTTAGTTGTGTTAATGTACAGCAGGTCCTAGATTTGGTTTGGTTTGAAACTACGCAACTGTTAAAAGAGTATATGTGAAAATGTGGAGTATGAATGGAATTTACACTACATCTTGTGACCTACTAGCATCAGTTGTGTCAGTTCAGTGTCAATTATAAATCCTCTCCTACACTCTCAGAAAAAAAGGTACAAAAGCTGTCACTGGGGTTGTACCTTTTCAAAAGGTACACTTTTGTACCCAAAGGCTGCATATTGGTACCTTGGTGGTACATATTAGCACCTAAAATGTACATATTAACACCTAAATTGTACATATTAGTACCTAAAATGTACATATTAGCACCTAAAATATACATATTAGCACCTAAAATAGACATATTAGCTCCTGAAATGTACATATTAACACTAAAAATGTACATATTAGCACCTAAAATGTACATATTAACACCTAAAATGTACATATTAGCAACCAAAATGCACATATTAACACTAAAAATGTACATATTAACACCTAAAATGTACATAGTAACACCTAAAATGTACATATTAACACCTAAAATGTACATATTAGCACCTAAAATGTAAATATTAACACCTAAAATGTCCATATTAGCACCTAAAATGTACATGTTAGCACCTAAAATGTACATATTAACACCTAAAATGTACTTATTAGCACCTAAAATGTACATATTAACACCTAAAATGCTCATATTAACACCTAAAATGTACATTTTAACACCTAAAATGTACATATTAGCACCTAAAATGCACATATTAGCACCTAAAATGTACACATTAACACCTAAAATGTACATATTAGCAACTAAAATGTACACATTAACACCTAAAATGTACATATTAGCAACTGAAATGTACATATTAACACTAAAAAATTATATATTAGCACCTAAAATGTATATATTAACACCTAAAATGTACATATTAGCACCTAAAATGTCCATATTAGCACCTAAAAGGTACATATTAACACCTAAAATGTACTTATTAGCACCTAAAATGTACATGTTAGCACCTAAAATGTATATATTAACACCTAAAATGCTCATAAAATGTACATATTAACACCTAAAATGTACATATTAACACCTAAAATGTACATATTAGCAACTGAAATGTACATATTAACACTAAAAAATTATATATTAGCACCTAAAATGTATATATTAGCACCTAAAATGCACATATTAGCACCTAAAATGTACATATTAGCACCTAAAATGTACATATTAGCACCTAAAATGTACTTATTAGCACCTGAAATGTACACATTAGCACCTAAAATGGACAAAAGTTTACGTTTTGAAGAGGTACAGCCCCAGTGACAGCTTTTGTACCTTTTTTTCTGAGAGTCCATGGCCTCATGGGATAGTAAAGTGTCCATGGTTTCCACACTTCAGAATCCTGCCGGCAGAAGTAGGTCATCCGGGGACTTTTTACCAATACTGTTTTCGAATACTGTCCAAACTCCCATACTTATATTCGAGCCCGTTCTCATCCCAAAGCGCCATATAGGACGCTTTTGCAAAAGCGTAAATATCCAACGCACATGGCACCCTTTAACGTCAAATGAGACGCAGATATATTTGGGCAGAAGGCGCCCCCTAGTGGTCTAACCCTTACCCTACACCATACCTAAACTTAACCATTAACCGAAGCGTCTCATTAGACGTGAAAGGGTGCCATGTGCGTTGGATATTTACGCTTTTGCAAAAGCGTTGTATATGGCGCTTTGGGATGAGAATGCGTTGGTATATTCTAGGCGAAAAATAGTATGCAACAAAAGTAATATATCTAAATTCACAGTATTTATAAAAAAAAGTAGGGAAAAAGATCTATTTCCTCCAGCGGGATTCTCAAGTGTGCATAATTCTCAAGTTATGAATGGTAGTGAACTGACGCTAGTAGGTCACATGATAATGACAACATGGCAAATGTCGTCCAAATTTCATTCATACTGCACATATTCATATTATATAAAAGCTTGAAAAATAAGTGTCTACTCATATCAAGAGAGAGTATGCGATTTTGGACGCAGCCTACTTCAAGTCACCTTTATTTATTTAGCGCTTTTTACAATACAGCTCGTTTCAAAGCAGCTTTTGGAAAATAATGCAGCAAAGTAAGTTGAGTGATGTTTCAGTTTTTGTCGTTAAAAAAAGTAACACTTTTACACTTGAGAAAGACCAAACTCATCCGTTTCCGAGCCGCTTAGACGACATGTTCCCGTCCTTTTATCTGTCTACAGGACAAAAGTCCCCCGTGACGAGAGTGGTGTGAAAAGCCTCAGTTTAGGGTCGTGTCTGAAAGTGAGTTTTCTCTCTCTCTCTTTGTGAATGCAGACAGGGGACGCCCACTCCAGAAGCCCTTTTAATGTTCACCTCGGCTCGCACAGACCCGTCCATCTGACAGACATATCAATCCTGTGCCAGGAGAACGAAGAGGAGGATGACGAGGAAGTGCTCCTGCCAAATAAAAGCTTTTGCTTCACTGCTTTTATATCATGACATGTTGTTCTGGTAGGTGGTTTGGCACTAAACACCGGCGACAACTAAACAATGGGCTCTTCAGCGCTCGCTGAGATTCAACACTTAATTGGTCGTTTGGAAATGGGAACAATCTCACTTACAGATTTACACAGTTGTGCATTTGCTTTTGTACGTGATCATACTCGTGTGTTTCGCCTGGTGGTCGTAGATGATAAAATGCTTTTATTTTCAGTTCATAAATAATGACTCGATATTAAGATTTTTGGCCAATTTATTGTGAGTTAGATCAATATTCTCTCATATTTATTATAAATATTAAATTAACATTTAACACTATATATATTAGTGTCCTTGTTCCATATGTTACTGTGTTATACAGTAAATTATGCATAATTACATGCAACTGAACCAAATCCTAATCCTATAACCCTATAGTAAGCAGTGTTGGGTAAGTTATTCTAAAAAAAAGTAATTAATTACTAGTTACTAATTACTTCTTCAACAGTGTAATTAGATTACTGTACTAATTACTCTCTCTAAAAAGTATTTAATTACTTTTAATTACTAATTACTTATCCCATATCAATCTCAACCAGCTGAATAATACAAGGATATACAGCTGTTTTAATTCTTTCAAATAAATACTATAAAATTGCATGAATTATCCTTAAACTGACCAAGGTGGAGAAGGTTACATTCTTAAAACATACTTTTTAGCATCAGACAATACATTTTGGTCATTTTTAAACCCACGATTTGTCTGATCTCATGACATTTCACACTTTTTTCATACATATTTTACAATAATTCATACGAATTTGTACGAGTGCGGTCGTACGATTTAGACACCTCATAAAATGCGTACGAATCGCTGTGAGATCGGATTGACACAGTATTTACCTCAATTACATCAGAAGTAACTGTAATTAAATTACAGATAAATTAAGAGTAATCCCTTACTTTACATTTTCAAGGGAAAAGTAATTAAATTACAGGGTTACACCCAACAGTGATAGTAAGTACATGCACACTGTAAAAAAATATTGTAGGTTTAACTTAAAAAAGTAAGTAACCTGGTTGCCTTAAAATTTTAAGTTGATTGAACTGGAAAAAGTGAGTTAATACAATGAAGGAGAATGATTTAATCATCAGAAACTCAAAATTATATGTTATCTGAAATAAATAAATTATTTAAGTTGATTTGACAAAAGAAAAAATGTTGTGATTACTACACTGTAAAAAAATATTGTTGGTTCACTTAAAAAAATAAGTAACCTGGGTTGCCTTAAAATTTTAAGTTGATTGAACTGGAAAAAGTGAGTTAATACAATGAAGGATATTAATTTAATCATCAGAAACTCAAAATTATATGTTATTTGAACTAAATAAATTATTTAAGTTGATTTGACAAGAAAATATGTTGTGATAACAAATCTTGAAAATATTTTTTTACAGTGTTTACTCAGTACTTAAATATATAATTACACTGTAACCATGACAACTCCAATTTATCATCACTTTTATCACTTTCGTGTTGAATCATGTGACGAAATATTAGCACGTGAAATTTCGTTACCTTTTTGGAGTGGTAGTTGTGTAGACTGTCAATGGTCGGAAAGAAATCTCTCAGATTCTTCATTTTTGTTTCGAAGATCAATCATTTTAACGGTCCGTCTTAACTTGAAGAATTTTGTAAACTCTTGTTTTTCGTTGGAAGTCTTTGATCGGCGTTACATTTCAGGTGATGGTATATATTTTTAATTTTTAGGAAGAAATTTTCACCTATTTGATTAAGTATTAAATTAACTCGTCAATTTATAATTTCTGCCTTTTTATTTGACGTGTCACGCGTTGCATTTTGTGTATGTTATCGAATATGACATGTTGAATTTTCTGTCGAATTTGAACCGGTGAATTTGTGGAAGCGAAATAAAATGGACCGGAAATTGCCTGCCGAATATAATGGGTTGTATTTTTTTACTGTGAACTCTTAAAGGTGAATATGGATTATTGAAATTTTTCAAATAAAAAAAATGTGTGTGAAAATGTTTGGAACTTAAATATACAACAATGTTATAGTCCATGAAAATACAAGCCCTCAAAGTACAATATATTAAATATATATATATATATATATATATTAAGAAGCTTTTTTGTTTCAAAAACATTTGGCATTCATTTTCTTTATTACTGCATTTCGGCAGATGTTTACGACAAAAAATATTGCGACTAAAACAAACTTTCTCTTTGGAATCACATTTATCAATGAATTGTGCACAATAAGACCAAGAACATAAAATAACACATCAATTAAAGACAATCTGATTTCACATTGCCTTAAGTGTAATATAATATATCGTTTAAATCATTATTGCTATTCAATATGTCAAACAAACTTGTGTTTTGACTCAATGACTCAATTTGACTCTCTCTCTCTCAAATTTGCTTTATTAGCATGACTGTGTAACACAGTTGCTAAAGCATCAACATATTATATATAAATAATAAAACAAACAAGTAAAACAAAAGTATAAATCATGTCATTTGTAGCATTTAAAATAAATCTTAATAAATAAATACGGTGGGTCACTGTGAGAATTAGCTGTCTCTGGCGTTGTGAATAGCTAACACATATTTAGCCGCTAGTGCAGCTGTCTCTCTCTCTTGATTTTCCGCCGTTCTCTTTGTACTCGAGACCCGAAGATCAAAGACGCGCGCCGTGAAGCTCCCAGGCCTAAATTACATTCATACTTCCTTGAAAGTACAGAGAAATTGGTGGGATGAAAACTGAAGGTCAGTGTCAGCTCGCGAGCGGGATTAGGTCTGAGCGGGGGAACGAGGAGCGAGAGGAGAACGGGCGTCGGGGACACATCTGTACCGAAACATGCTCAAAGAAACATTACACACGCCAGAACAGCAAATAAGAGCTCAGGGCGCTATAATAGATTTAAGAAATCAATGCGGCACGTCAATGAAATGTTATCTGTGTTTTTCTTTTGCGAACGTGTCATAAAAATTCACATCTATCTATTTTACAACCATTCAACAAGCTCTAATACATCAACACACCAATAACATCTTGAGCATTTGCGGCTGCGACTTTGCACAAGCTTTTCAAAAGGATGTAATTATTAGCTCAACCCTTGGATATTATGTCTAGCACAAACGCGTATGGGCAAATATTAAATGCTATTCATGCTAACCATAAATTATCATAGCATCCTGACACAGATTGTTGGTGACGCTGAGCGCTGCATGGCGTCTGTGTGTATTTTTCCATGGATACAAAGTAATTAAAAAGAATAAGTGGTGGCCAATAAGCAGGGAAGCATGTAATTACGATGTGTCTGCAGCTGACTGCGCGGCACTAGCTTTAGCGCTTTAGCCTGTGACCTGTGATGGCTCAACACACGAATTAATTAACAAGCGCGATTCTCTGCATTTCATTACTGGAGCTTCTCAACCCATCATTTTATTCTGCTATTAATTTCCAAGATCTGTTTTTACCACAACTGAGCTCTCTCTGTAATGTATGCTAATTTTTGCTTATGCTAATCATACCGCATGTTGTCTTTTCATATTGTCTAGTTGATGTAAAATTCTAAAGGTGACAATGATGTGACCTTAGTTTATTGTAACCTCACTAAACTGTTTAATTGGATTTGAAAAAAAAAATTAAAAAAAATCAGCTACCAGCTAGCTAAAGCTAGTTTTTCAAAATATCTAGGACCTTAAACTTGATTGTTTTTTAGCAAGGTTGAAGCAGAATTTCATCTAGAATATCCTGAAAGTTATGTAAACTAAGCTAACATTAACTAGCCTAAGCTTTTATAGTACCAAGTCCTATAGGTTAGCTGTTAATGCTAACAGGTGCTAAGCTAACAACACACTATAGTCAATAATGTGTGAAGAAGTTCGCTTATATCCCATCTATTGATATGAAATATTCTGAAAGCAATGTCTCATCAACTGTGCTAATTATTAGCAAAGCATTATAGTATTAAAGTGCCCTACTGGTTAGCTGCTAATGCTAACAACAATGAGCAAATGTAATGAAGCTACCAGCGCATTAGCCATGGTGTGATGAAGTTAGCTTTAGCAAATCGTCCATGCCGTGTCATTTCCGTGTGAACTGTGATGCTGGGATTCTCAGTGCCAGTGCGAGGCTGAAATACTGTGTCAGTGTTACTGTCTGGAGGAAGTGCTCGGAGAAACTGACCATCTGCAGGGTTTACATAAAGTCCTGTGCCGCCACAGTTCGGCGAGCTGTTAATGAGACATGACTGACCAACAGAAGCACTGGGAACGAGAGAATCTTTAAAATCGGGTTATTTTGCATTGACACTTATTTCATGAGGATTAACAACACTTTTACCTACATTTTACTCAACGTTAACCAATGCAATTTTTTTCTAAATGTCATAATCATTTGTTAACCATTACTTCAATGAGCTCACTGTTTTCACCTTAAATTATTACACTGTTTAAATGTACATTTCTGAAATGCAGTTTCCTCAGATAATAGATCATGTAAATTGTAATATGGACTCTGTAAAGCTGCTTTGAAATGACGTGTATTGTGATAAGCGCAATACAAATAAATGTGAATTGAATTGTTCTCAGATTTTAATGCACATCCAAAATGCGTTTAATTGTTGTTTTGTGCTGTCGTGACATTTACCCATTAACCCTCTGGGGTTGTTCGTTTCAGAGTCACACTTGGGGTGTTCGGGTCCAAATGGACCCAAAGGGCGGGATTCATATTTTTTTTTTTAAAAATCATGATTTTTTTTTTTAACTCGTTTTTTATAATATTTTTTCTTTTCTTTTTTGGTGTTTTGAGAAAATTTCAAAAATAAAAAAAATTATAATTACTATTAATGCAATAATTACGACAAAATTTCCTCCCCATTGAACATAATAGAAAAAATATGTAAATTTTTTTTTATAAAAGCTGTATTTCATTTTAGAGCCAAGCCTAGGCCTCATAAAAGCAATTTTTAAAATGAGATGGATGCCATCTGGTGGACAAACTGCGCATTTTAAAAATGCAAAACACATGTATAATTTTAATTAATTTTAATTACATGTATAATTATAATTTAAATAATTTTGAATTTTTTGGTGTGTTTGTGTATAAAAGTGTGTGTGTGTGCGTGTCTGGATGTGTCTGTTTTGCACTCTTGATGTTTTATAGATTCACCCCTTCACTGTTGTGTGCCTGATTTGTAGATTGTACGCACAAAAAAACTCAGTATTTTCATATTTTTGCCAATTTCCCATTCATTTTCCATGCGGGTCCATTTGGACCCGAACACCCCAAGTGTGACTTTTTTTTACAACCACTTAGACTATTCACATCCT